GAGGCATGAGGAAGAGGAAGACCAGCAGTACTCCCCAGAGATACTGGAGGTGCAGGCTCTCCACGACTACATTTTTGACGGTGACACGAAGTCTCTCACCAACATTGATGAGATCGCTTCGGTGTTGACAAAAGAAGTTGGGACCATTTCGCCTGAAGTCGCAGACAACATCATTAACGCTGACCCGAAAGCCTTCTCAGATTTCTTTGCATCAGTCTCAGGACTACCTCCTTCCGCATATCAAACCGGTAGTAAGGATGTTCCAACGCGCTTCATGCATCAATGTACTGTCGCTCATTGTGCTCGGATTTTCTTCACTGGTGTCAGGCGGGATGAGCACAGCGTTAACTGTCAAGCTGATGTTGCGCAATCACTCGAATTTACCTGTTCCGTCTGTGGAAACAAGCATCCTACCGAGGAAAAGCCCAACGTGCACATGTCAGAACACAAATGGCCTCCTCGAGCCTACCCATGACCCGGTTGCCAGGACAAGACCATTTACCAAAGGAGAAACCAACTCAGGGCTCACACTGCCCAAGCGCACCAAGACCTTCCCACAGAGTGTTGGATTTGTGACGCGAAGTATGGAGCACCTGTCACACTCAAACGACATGCGCGGGCGGAGCATCCTGAGGTGACTGAGGAAGAGCTTGATAACATCATGCCCATTCAAAAGCGCCAGGCCCACAAACGAGATGCTTTCAAGCCACAGCGATGTTCGTTCCCGGATTGTACCTATCAAACTGGTTTCGGCTCTCGATCGCAATACCGGGACCACTTGAAGAACCATGGCGTCAAAGGATCTACGTTTAACCAATACGTGCAGGACAACCCAGAGGAACTGCGGCCAACTACGCCTCCAAGGGCCAGAGCCGCCAATTTTGAGCCCCAACGATGCAACCATTTCGACTGTTCTTAGAAACCTTCGGCCATCGACACAAGCTCGTTGCCCACCTCCGAGAACACCACGGCGTCTGGAAGGATGAAGACATCGCTGTGTTTGTCAGGCCTGACTCGCCAGTTGCCTCTGATTCCGAAGATGGCTCCTTATCAGCGCAGCCATCGGATCCAAGAGTTACTGCTCGCCGAACACGTCACTCTCGTGCAACCAATACCAGGGGTGCCCAGAATGATCAATCTAATACGCCAACTGACAATGATGAGTCTCGCAATCCCGACCCGAACAAGCCTTGAAACCAGAAGTTCCCACTCGCCGAGCCCTCCCCTCTCGCTCAGCCAAGACCCTAGGTTTGAACAGCAAGCATTTTCTAGTCCATGGGACGGGCCCAGACGATGACTGTCACCCCGAAGACACCACTAGCGAAGACGAGTTGGATTCGGATCCCTCGGGTTATGAGAAGGATTCCGAGCTCGAAGCCAAGTCCCCGTCAGGGCTAGAAGATGAGGGGTCTGACTTTGATATGGAATAGAGACTGGATTCACATGAGAGAGCATATTTATCTGGGGAAAAAAGCATATATGCTGAAGGAAGAACATGGAGAAAACATCGTGGAAAGTTGAGAGTTGTCGTCTCAAGGACGACCAAACGGTGATGTTTTAATGGTGGTTGGACTCATTAGGTCACCAATGTTTCCTTGAAGCGAGTGTTGGGGGGGAAGATGGTGATATCATGGCAGACATGGCCAAACACAAGTGTACCAGGGGAGATTGTCGACCGTTTTGATGCTAAAAGCCATACGAACAGGGTTAACCATAGGTTGAATCAAACTGTCAAATATAAACAGGCTTCGCCAGATATCCGTGGTGTGCAATGTGGTGTCCTCTCTTCAGCTCGGTTGCCCCTGTCCGGGCTTCACGTTTGAGAATCGTTTGCTCTCCTTTGCACATAACTTCTCTACTCCTTTGTTGTCGTTTTCCTACACGTCATATACAATCGTGCAATCAAGAGATCAGTCATGAGAGTACCGTGAGGACCCTGGCGACTGGACGGGTATATAAAGCTGCTCCGTCGCACGTCGTTTCAAGCAAAAAGTACGAAGAATGAGAAGATATTCTGTAGAAATTCTCCATAAGCTCAATAGAGCCTCTATAGAAATTGTGTAATAACTTTTCAAATGAGCTTATAAAATTATGCACATTTTTATATAAAATCTTACTTGGATATTGATGAGGATTTGAAGAACGCAAGGCAGGTACGTTGTGAGAACGCCGTTCATTCAACCCACAGCTCGCCACCTGCAACGCACTGCCCATTATCCCAACAAAAACACCAACACTCCTCCTACACTTTAATTTCAACCACCTCCTCCATCTACGCAGCACGTCCGCCCGCCTCACTTGCGTAACGTCAGCTAACCAGTGTAGGATCTTGATATGTTCTTGCAAATAGTCGCACCCCCTCGAAAACCCAGCCCACGGTCAAGCCCACATGATGGGGTCGGTCTTCCGTTCGAGGGGGCGACAGAGTTGATTGACAGCTACTTCAATCCGCGACCGGGGCATCCTGCTCAAGGCTGGGGCTGAATTCAACAAGATCTCGCACAATCCGGACCAATCCACCCTTATCGGTTCAAGTAAGTGCATTTAACCCAACAAACCAGTATCTCACTGACAGCACCCTACAGCCACATTAGGGACAAAGTGACGTCCCAAGAGATTATTCCCGCGAACCTCCGCCCAAGCCAGTATCCTGTCACATACCAGTTTGACGGACCGAACGAGGCTCAGACCTCCCTCACGCAATCAGCCGTGCAGGAGGTATTCTGGGTCATGGAAGACTGCGAGACAATCCGACGTCTTAAGACTAATGCTCGATTCATTAAGCTCGACAAGGACAAGTCAACCAAGCACAACACACATTTCCTCCTCATTGTCAACACGGACGAGCAGGTAAGCCTCCCAAACTGTGACGGAAAACTTTTCTTTGCTAACCAGCGCAGGTGTCCGAATTAGCGGTCACTATCCCTCGTGTGACCAAAGAAGGCTCAGCTGTGAAGCTTTTCTTCAAGGGATCACCGCTCCCTGGATCAGATGTCCTGGCCGATGATGAGTACTGGGATGGAGTAACCCAGCCCTCCATGATCATCCTCATGACGGCAACTTAACCCTGAAGGTCTGTCGACCACCGGGCAAGTGGCACCCAGGGTGGAAGGTCCGTGGTCAGAAGTTCCAGGCATTCGATACGTACACCGAGGGAGAACAGCATTAGGAGCCTGTCTGCCTTCAGTTCGACGCCAATCCCGGTGTTACTAAGCGTCGTGTTGCGGCGATTAGCAAAGTGTTTGGTCCCATCATGCCTGACCTGCCCGGCACCAAGACGCGACAGGATTCAGATGACTACGAAGATGATCAAGATGAGGATGAGAACAGTCCAGCAGTCCCCGCTCCCTCTCCCAATGATCCAGTGATGGGGATGGTCCGCCAACTTCTCGATGGCGAGGCGGTCGACCCTTCTCCAGTCACTCGAGAGATGATCGATCACATCATCCAGATGAATTTCTATCTTCAAGACTTTGTCATTGGCCAAGGATTACCTTGTGTTCTTTATCGTCATAATGATGATGACGACGTCCTTGCCGATGGGGCTTCTAGGATCTCGCTCAGCTCCTCCTGTGTGAAGCGTTCTCCGTTGTCGCTCCCACATGTGGACTTCTTTAACAAGACGGATTCCTTCTTAGTCGACACTATGCTTTTGAAACTTCGACCTCTCACACGATGTCGTTTCGAGAAGTACCTTGGTACTATTCCCTTGGGACTCATCGGCATCTTCAGGTTCGCTAGCTCCAGAAAGACGGAGACTCTTGCGATCGTCGCCCATCTCTTCCTTTCGAAGTACTCGCGGGTTTACGCATCTGCCCCAACTCATGTCGCAACGACCAACACTCTCCCTTATATAACCAAAGAGAGCTCGATGTGAAGCGGGACTTTCCCCTTTCCCCTCTCACCATCACTACTACAAGTCCGTCCGGCTTTGAACACACCCCTCTCGCCACGCTGCGACTTTGTCCCGCTTCCTCTCCTTCAACACAAACCTCCACCCACACCCTGCGCGGCATTACATCCACATCCGAATTCTTCCTAGCAGTATGGGATCTCGACGGCCCCTGAATTGCCTCGTCAGACCAGATAGGACGCTGAGGCATTGAGAGACAACATGGTACATCACCTGCGAATGCCGCGATTGGACAGTGAAGAAACCAAGCATGAGCCGGTGGCGAAGAATAGAAGAGCCACTGCCGAGGACGTTGTGGGGACCCGGGTGAAGGCACCTCTCGCTGGGCCTTACCTATCGACGATTTGGAGGGTCAGCTCCAATCATCACAAGGTTCTCGCCCAACCTTGTAGGACCCTCGAGGTGGTGCCTCGTGCCTGCCAGCTGTCTCTCCCCCAGGATGACTTCAAGAAGACATTCAAGGGGGTGCAAGAGAGGCTACCAATTGAGGTACTGGGGCCTGAGGAGATGATCCCCTCCGTATATGTGGGCATCTCAAGCTTGACGGCCCAGCCTGTCTACATCACGAAGCCAAAGCGAACAGGCAACATGGCCTATAGGGACAATCTCCCCAAGGTGGATGTGAGGATGGAGCCTTCGCGCAAGATTGCCAGCTCACTCACCATCCTTCACGAAACCTGTATAGTTACGGGCAACCTGGGCCAGTTGAAGCGGTTAATAGTGGACAATGACCGAGCTTTCGAAGACGAACCCGCCTTGATGGAGAGGGCGGCATACCAGAACAAGCGGGCACTGGAGTTTCTCTCAGTGGAAACCTTGGCTGGGGCGACGCAGGCCATCGATGAGCCCATACATAAACAACCCTGAGCATCCCTATGACGGCAACTTGTTTCTCGAAGAGGCGACGCAGGTCATCAATCGATGACTATATCAACGCAAACGCCAAAATTCAGGGTTTCTGATCGCTCGGTGATATTCTCTCGCAAGTCGAATTCCATTTCCTCTTCCGCAAACGAAATATCTTGCCCACCGCCAATGCTGGTTTTGAGAAAGACATCTTGCCTCCCTCTGGCCCTGCGATTCGATTATGGCTCCAAGTAAGTCCACTTGACTTGATATACCACACCCTTCTAACATCTGGTAGGCACACTTGAAGCCCGGAATACTTCAAGGACATCGTTCGCGAAAATCTGCGCCCATATATAAACAACCCTGAACATCCCCATGACGGCAACTTGGTTCTCGAAGCACGACGACCAATGTTCAAGACTGCGCCCCGGTCCCTCTGCCGTTACGACAGCAAGTTAGTATACCATCATCCTATCTTTACTATGAAGATTATCAAGAATTAAACAAAGTTATGATTAACTTTGTTAGGTTTTATATAACATTATGATCATTTTTAATATTATTGATCCTAAAATACTCATAAGTTACCAACGTTTTGGCGTTCGGCAAGGATTTCATCCTCTTCCAGCATGTACCCGAAGACCAGGAGTACACGATAAAGGACATGGGAACTGAGTACCCAACCTATGGCGAACCCGAGGATGTCGAGACCGTGAACCAGGCCATCCTGGTGGCCTATCGGGGGGACTCGATAGTAGATGAAGAAGGCGATGAGCTTCACGCCGAGCTTGCGGGGCCAAAGGAGCTCACTATCTACCACGAGGAGAACCTCCGCGACGGGTTCATCCGCCACAATCTGGCTCGGCCGACTGAGGCAGTCAGAGTCATGGCCCGGGCAGGCCGACTCTTTCTGCCAAAGAACAAGAGGGAGGCCCCGGCGATGAAGAACAGACTGGTGCTTCAGGCACCGACAGGTACGGACCTCCTAAAGGGAGTATATATCGGCATCTCAGGGATCTCCCTGCAACCGGCATTTGCTGCCGGCGTCATCAGCCCACACGTGCAGCTGCGTTTCTGTTGCCGCTTGCTTCCACGTATCATCCTCCTGTGCTTTCACGACGGACTCGGCGGTGTGAGAGGTAATGGCCTTCACGATAGCCACAGCGGCAGCTGTCTTACCGGCACCAGCCAGTTACGAAAGCCCAACCAAACGGCACTGACTTCGTCTGGCCTGGTGAAGGCCATCGAAGATGCCGCCGCTATCAATGAGAACGTTGAGACTGCTGCGCTAGAGGCTAACGGCTTTGCCCTACCGGAAGGGGATTTCACGCTGCCAGTCTATAGACTCCCGACCGAGGGCACTGGCGATGAGGCCGCTAGAACCAACGCTGATGAGGGTATCGCTGACACCAACGCTTGGCCTGGTGACACTAACCTTGATGCGCAAGACTTGGCCTGGCCCGTTGAAGAAAGCGGCAACAACACGCAGTTGCACGTGTGGGCTGGTGGCAACGGCAGCGAGACTGCGATCGAGACCTGGACGGTTGCCGGAACCGAGGCGGGGGTTATCAGCGCGAACCTGCACACGAGCATCACCCCAGCCCAGCCCACTATGGCACAGGCATCCTTCCTTGAGCAAGAGAACGACCACACTCCAGTTTCAGGTAACCGCTTCGAGTATCCCACAGCAGCTGAAACTTCAAATGGCTTTGTTGTTCCTAGCGGCCTATTAGACAATGGAGACGCGTCAGGCACGATTGAGACATCGGTTCGCTGGAGAACGGTGTCTTCCAGACGCCGCAAGTTCAATCTTCATGTCCACTGGCTATGGCAAAACCCGGACTACCTTCTTGTCAGGGCAGGTCAACTGAAGGCGACGGGCGGCATCGTCGACCAGGCGGTTTTGAGGCGCAGTCCAGGCAACCCGGGCATTGCGACCGGCAGTGGTTGTCTGAGTGTCGTCGCCATTGTCTAATAGGCCGCTAGGAACAACAAAGCCATTTGAAGTTTCAGCTGCTGCCATGGCCAGTGGAGATGAAAAACTTGCGGCGTGTGGAAGACACCATTCCCCAGCGAACCGATGTCTCGATCGTGTCTGACGCCTCTCCAGCCAGTCACCAAATGGCTAGACACGTCGATGCCATCCGCACGACGGCATACAGAGAGAAGTCCCCCTCCGCAGTGTTCAACTCTTTCTCCGAGTTCGCGCAATCCATGGTGCAGAAGAACCCCACGGAATGGGAGGATATCGAGAGAGCCTGAAACGAGAAATTGACCGACCCTACCGCCTACGACGTCAACCGAAAGACGCATGAGGAGGCTTTCCAGGCTCTGGTCAAGGCGGCAGCTGAAGCAGTTGATATTGTTTGTTCAACACCAGTCACCATGGTGGAGTTCGCTAATAAGACCACCTTCGCCCCCGACTTCATTGTGGTTGACGAAGCAGCTCGACTATCCGAGAACCTGTCCGTCGCCGTTCAAGCGAAATGGCCCGGTGCACCATGCCTTTGTGGGAGTGGGAGTGGGAGTGGCGAACTGGGAGGCGTCATCAGGAGAGACGAGCTGCCTTCTCAATCTCCGTCGGGTCATCGAATATCATTCCGCCTTGGACGAAACGATGAAGCACGGCAAACTTCTCCTCGGTGTGAAAAGCTTGACGGAGCGCGAACAGGACGGGATGGTCAAGAGCTTCCAGATCCCAATCTCCAAACTTGACAGCCTCGAGGAGACATTCGCAGAGCGACAGTTTGATGTCCCACCATGTACGATCCTGAGGAGGGGCGATGTCAGCGGAGCTGTTGTGGATGACGTTGAAGAAACAGGTCGAGGAGTTCTATGAGTGCAATTTGTACTACTCCCCATGCTTCAACGACCAAGCCATACAAGATTTTTAAAGCAGATGCGGGCGCTGTGGTACTAGATGGAGCAGGCGCGATGTAGAAGGCTGATACGCTTCAAGTTATCGGCCAGACTCTCCGTCTTGTCGCCATGGCTGGGGACGAGAATCAGTTGCCACCCACCGTCATGACCCTCATGGACAAGCAGGATGGAAACATGCTCAACCAATTCGCACCAGACGCTCGAACCTCAATGCTTGAGCATTCCAAGTGTACAGTACTGGTCAGGCATGTTTCGTCCTGAACGAGCAGTTGCGCATCGCAAGTGGTCAATTCGACCTGGCTCGCACTCTCATCTACCCCGACGTGAATGGCTTCACATACGGACCAAACACGGTACTTGACAAGCAACCAATCGCTACCGAAGTTGACAAGTGGGTTCGGAAGACTCATGGGATCGAGTCTTTGGCCGGCATGTCGCTGCCTGTCTTCCTACACTGCGATTTTTCTGTCTGTGAAAGTCACCAGCGATCTCGTGTCAACGAGCAGCAGAACCTCGTCGCCATCGACCGTCATGACCCTAATGGACAAGGATGGAAGCATGGTCAACCAATTCGGACCAGATACTCGAACCTCCATCCTCCAACACTTCAAGCGTACTGGACAGGCATGTTTCGTCCTGAACTGAACGAGCAGCTGCACTGAACGGCCAATTCGACCTGGCCGTCCCCGGCACTCACTCAAGAGTCAAGCCCAGGAAGGGCAGTCTTAGCAAATTCTTGCTAATGTTAACTATTACTTCTAGATGATGGTAGTCTAAGAAGAGGCAAAAGCAGTCTAAAGTTGATCAAAGACAATGTAGAGTTTCATTAATAATACTCTAATCTTTATGCTAGGACATAGGTAATCTATTTGCCTATTACCTCGTCTTTATGCCAAGGGATAGATACTTCTCTCCATCCTTTGATCCTATGTTGAAATGCACAGTTCCTTCTGACTGGTCTTCAATGGATGTTGAGACATGGATCCAGTGTCATCGCCTCCCTTTGTTAGAACCTACAAAGGAGCCAATGCTCACTCTTTGATTTCGCGAGCGGAACACTTCTGGATAGGCACTTCACGTACATAATAAAGCCATTGTTCTTTATGTGGTGAACATAACATCTATGATACCTGTACATAAAAGCACGAGCTCTGCTGTCAAGGTGCTTCTCACCATCATCGCTCACGATCTGCTGATACTCTTGATTCATCTACTTTAACATCACCAAGCAAAGCTCGGTGAGACGGATAGAAGAACCCAAGCGCTGTACAGTAGCCAAACAATCCCCCTATACCAGGCCTTCCCCATTCATCTCCAGATATCATGTCTTCAACTTGCAACCTGAAGCTTTACATGCCCATTGACAGCCCTGACAACCGTCAGCTCGTCGAGCTCAACATCAAGTCTCTCGACAAGTGGCAACAGAACATTGCGCAGCATTGCCCCTTTGTGTCACCTTGGTCTGGCTCAAGCTCCACAGAGGGCTCCGACTGCAAGGATGGACCTGAAGATGCTGGTGCGGAGGTAGGAAAGCGGCCAATTCCCGAGCGTTCCTTGCTCTGCAGCGCACGCGACGGCCACCCAGGCGAGGATGAATCTACACTCAGAGACCTCGCCGATATGGAAGAGATGAGGGAGCAACGACTCGTGCGTACCCATCCCCTTGCAGATGATGTCAAGGCCTCGGAGCTTTCTACCTATCGTCTCAAGGGGTGGGAGCTCCTCCACAGAATCATCACTGACGGCCTGATCAGCGCCGACCTTCCCCGGGTTCCTCCTTGCAATCCTGATCAGCGAGTTTACATTTTCTTTGTCGATGAGACAGAGACGGGAAAGCTAGTCGTACCCCAGGTAGTGAACATCGATGCATGCCCGAGGAACATTCTGATGAAGCACCTGGACCGGGTCGAGAAGCGAGGATGGCGCGATATTATCTGGGTGGGAAACAAGGGCGAGGGTCTCCAATACACGATGATCAAGAAAGAGTGTTTTGAGACGTTGGTCTGGGGTTGATTCGAGAGATGAGGCTTTCGGCGAGGAAAGGGGGATACCATATTAGATTGAGAATGCACTTCTTTTCCCGTTCAAGTGTCCCGTGTGGTAGATTTGTGAACATGTATTCAAAACTTCGTCTTGTTTGATGTGACAGTGCGGGCAGCTTATAGGTTGGCCTCGTCGGCGATCCTCAACGGCGCAGATGAGACCTGACAATGTCGACAGGTCAAGTGGGTGATGTGAAGATGAAACCAGCATGATGTGGTGCCGTTTAGCTCAGCCAGCTATCGGATTGGCGTGAATCGTAACTTTTTCGATCCGAATGGGTTCCTTGGGCCTGTTCTTCCGATCAACCTCGACAGCCTCCATCTTGGCCAAGGTCGCCAGGCCCTCGTCTCCAATGACGCGTCCAAAGATGGTGTTGAGGCCGTCCAGATGCGGCGCCTTGTCAAAGGTGATGAAGAACTGCGAGCCGTTGGTTCCGGGTCCCTTGTTGGCCATGGACACGACACCTCGCGCGCCGTGTCGCAACGCGGGTCGAATCTCGTCCTCGAACGCGCCTCCCCAGATGCTGCGTCCGCCCTTGGGGTTCTCTGGGGGGTTCGGTGTCGCGGGAGCTCCAGTCTGTGTCATGAACTTTGGGATAAGGCGGTGGAAGGGTGATTGATCGTAGTAGCCTGATGCGCAGAGGGCAAGGAAGTTCTGGCAGAGGTTAGTGGTTAGCCAAGGGTCCGACTGGTCTTGACGCAAATCGATGGCTTACCTCGGCCGTCTTGGGCACACTTTCGCAGTAGACTTCAATCTTTATGTCGCCTAGCGACGTATGGAGAGTAACTGACATTTTTCCTGTCTGAGGTGGTGCGGCGATGTTGTTGTGGAGGTTGGAGAGAAGGTTGGTGCAGTTGCGAGGAAAGATGGGAAGGAAGTCTCACAAGTTGAACGCCCCACTATCACCAACACCCAGGCACCCCAAGCGACTTCAACCCATGGGTCACAAACAAGCACATCAATACCTAGGGACTATAACAAATACACTCTATAAACTTTCTGTTGTTTGCTTTTATTTCTATCAACCTATTCTTTAACCCCTCTTCGACTTTGCGCCCCATATACATTTTCTCCTTGTCCTCACTCCCTCTCCTATAAACCTAGTCACCTGCTTGGCCGTATATATCTTCTTGCTGGTTGCTTTGCCCAATTCATAGCAACTTCCGATCATGGTCTTTGGTTATTAGGTAGCGTTTAACATGGATAGGTACCTACCCTAGCAAAACCAGCTCTTAAACTTCCTCATCGCACTCTACACACTTTGAGTCCACCTGGGCAGTACGGGCTAGGTCCAGTGTTGGTCGCATTTAACTAATAACTTACATGGTAGGTAACCAGCGATAGATGGCACCGAAAAGGTTGCAAACTCGGCCTCATGATGTCTCCACTTTTATCTACGTAGTACGACTACTTGCGAGTACCCGCTCGCAGCCTCATCCTCTCTCCTACCAACCTCAACCTCATTCGGGCCATGACCTCGGTCTCGCCCTTCTTCAAACCACAACCTCATTTGGGCCATGACTCCGGTCTCGCCCTGTTATGAATCCCAACCTCGATTAGGCCATGACTTCGGTCTCGCCTTCTTCAAACCTCACCATTACTGGGCCATGATCTCGGTCTCGCCCTTCTTCCAACCTCACCCTCAACCAAGCCATGACTTCGGTCTCGCTCTGCTACGAACCTCGCCTAGGCCATGACTTCGATCTCGCCTTCTTCTAATACAAACCTCATTTGGGCCATGACTCCGGTCTCGCCTTGTTACGAATCCAAACCTCATCCGGGTCATGACTTCGGTCTCACCCATCTTCAAACCTCAACCTCACCCAGGCCATGACTTCGGTCTCGCTCTTCTTCCAACCTCGACCTCATCTGGGCCACGACTTCGGCCTCTTCCTCGACTCTACCATTGATCATGGCGCATTCCATATCTTATGGACCTGCGCCCCACCTCTCATCGGTCTTCAGCTGGTCATCACTGACTGACAGCTGCTGCCACTGTCAACTCAGTAGTTGAACTGCCACTTGCAAACGAGCACGACGGGTATGCCAACAAACGCATTTGATTACATTGCCCTTGCCCTTGCCCTAATCGCACAAATTCCCCTCGCTTCTCTTTTCTTCTTCTCCTTCCCCCCACCTCTCTTTTCTTCTCCTCCCCTCCTCACCTCTCACCTCTCAATCTTCCTTTCACCAACTCCTTCGCGACGTCGCTCTATTCATTTCCCCCAGCTAGAGGTATAGCACATTTGCCCCTTCTCATACATCGTCGGCCTATTCTTGCCGTCGCATTCCACCATCGTCAGCCAGTTGCTAACCCTGTGGCCAGGACATTCCTGCCCAGTTGCCCACGAGCTTCTCGATCGTGGTTGATCTTCCCATCCACCAGGTTCGTCAAACAACGTCTCCTATCACCTTGCGCATCTTCTTTTTGGCCTTGCTTGCTCACTAATATACCCAGGACAACTGTTGTGCCCGACGAATCAGTCTCTGCAGAGATGTCAAGCCCGGCTAGCGGCCCCTTTGATGCCGCGATTGCTCACCCAGAAGAGCCCCTCGGTATGATCACCGAACCGGACGGTCAAGAGCTGGAACGCGCGTACTCCCTTCTCTGGACACCGGTTCACGAAAAGGCCCACGTGGTCCTCCCCACCTCGGTCAAGCTCACCAGGGATGAGTTTCTTGCCCAGAATCAGCACTGGCTTGACCTGCTCCTTCGTGTTCCCTCTGCCTAGGATGCTCTGGAAACCCTCAAGGAGCACTTGCTGCAGAACATTGACGAGCATACTGCCCGACTTGTGCCCGAGCCGTATCGAACCACGCTGTACTTTTTTTTCGCCTCGATCCACGACGAGGCTCGGCAGGATTGGTTCCGAGAGAGTCCTCTCCCGGAAGTCACCATCAACCGTCATATTCCTTTGCCCAAGATGGTCGAAACCCATCCCCTGCGCCAAGCCGCCCAAAAGCTTGAGAAATTCGCCTTCAAGCTCAAGGAGAAGAACCCTGCTGATGCTGTCGAACTCAAGCATCTTTCGGATTCCATCAACCTGATCTGCGATGTGCTGTACCATGAAGAGATCAAAGCCAAGACCCAAACGGAGGGTATGGCGGTCCAGATGGACAAAACTCTCCAGAAGCTCCAACTTCTCGATGGCCCAGCCCTGACAGCCATCATTGACGAGGTCAACGAGGAGCAGCAGAAGCAATTCGCGGAGGTCCGCAAGCTTGCTGTCGATGCTCACAACGAAGATGGGGCAAGCGCGCTTCAGATGACTGACAAGGAATGGCTTCTCTGTTACCGCAACATGGGCGATGCCGAGATCCAGAAGTGGGTTGATTTCTTTGTCGACATCTCTGATATTGAGACGGGTCTTCCGGACACTTGGAAGGCGCTCGTCATGCAGACGGGTGGCGATCGTCTCTGGCGAGTGTTGAACAATGCCATGTCCAACCTCTCTTAGGCTGCTTACTGCAATGCGGTATATCACCTGTCGTGTAACGTCCTCTTTCTGAGGAGGCTCGACGCAACGGCTATCAAGGACACGGTACGTTTTCCCCAGATGACTGACTGATGATATATCAGACTGACTAACGACATGTCAATAGATAGGTCAAAAGGTGTGACCAGTTTGATGGAGGAAGTGCGACGGAAGTTGATGTTCATACACCGGGTCGACAAGAAGGTTGGAGGAGCCTGGGTGAGCGGGATTCTCTGGCTGGAGTGGGCTGGCGGGAGTAGACATGGAGTTGCGGCGGAAGTTGATGATGATACACCGGGTCGACAAGAAGGTTGGAGGAGCCTGGGTGAGCGGGATCCTCTGGCTGGGATGGGCTGGCGGGACTAGACGTGGAGGTACAGCAAGCAGACCTCGTAGCTTAGTCTTTGAATGCCACCCTGGTAGACTCATTTTCTTGTTTCCAAGTGTGACAAACAACATGAAAGAAGAGAAGCCCCTCTGCTGTCGAGAAACGGTCTTCCATACATACTGGCAATGAGACTCGTCTTCCGGAAACCGTCAAGGCGGTCATCATGCAAACGGATGGTGATCGTCTCTGGCGAGTGTTGAACAAGCCCAACACAGCGATAGAAGGTTTCGGATTGCCAGGCGGAGGATCGACCTTTCATCATCACACCCTGGTACCAATCTCATTTCTGGTGATCACGCTGGGGACATTCGCTGGCCTATTCCTATACAGACCGGACCAGACGTGTATTTTCTTTCTTTATTATTATACGCCCTACACTAGATCCATTTAACTCCCTGACTTTAGGTCGACGCCCTAGATCCGCCGATCCCTAACCAGACTCGCCGGTCAAGTATTCGCCCGCATCACGCTCATCCAACACCCGACGACCTAAGTCCACAGGGTTCCATCATTAATAACTTGAGCAGCCAGCTCCAGTCATTCTCGTTCAGATCCCAGCACCACCAACATTCTCGATCATCCAGCTCGACCCCTCACACCTTCCCCCAAACCCTGAGTCCGCCAGGGGTTGGCATCAAGCTGCGGGGAGATAAAAGTTATTTGTGCTCAGGAGATGGGATGCCATCATGTCCCGTGGCTCCCTCCCGTCCCCAATCAATCACCCGAGCCACGCAGCGTATCTCCATTACGATTGACTGAATGATTGTTGCATTTAATTGACACCGATAAGCACGTCATGGGTGATAGCCACCTTAAAGAGAGGGACAGGATCCAAGCCAGGCGAGCGCTTGGCAGTCGGAGCTTCCTTCTTATTCTTCAAATGAAAGTGAGTCCTCTTTGCCGAGCGTGTGGTAGGCCCCTGGCTCTTTTTCATCATCTTTTCGGCTGGGGAGCGGTCGCCATGGGCCGCGAGGTAGTTGGAGATGTTATGATTTCTCTGCTCAATGAGGGTGAAGAGGAGGGTCTTTTGTGAGTCTGGGTGCTTGTTGCAGTGCGATATGCCATATGCCGTGATACGTCCTCTTCTTTATAGGTCTCGACATAACACGGTTATCGAGGCCATGGCATACTTTCCCCATATGTCGTGATACGTCCTTTTCTATACAGGGCTCGACATAACATGGTTATCAAGGCCACGGTATCCATATGTTTTCCCCATATACTGACGAACGGTATATCAAAGACTAACTAACGACGTATCAGAAAACAAAAGGGGAGATCAGTTTGATCAAGGAAGTGAGACGGAAATTAATGTTCATACATATTCTTGTTTCCAACTGTGACAAACAACATGAAAGAAAAGCAACCCTCCGTGCTCTCCGGTGTCGAGAAATGGTCTGACATGCTTGCATCCCACCAAACTGTAGATGAAGTTGTCCCTTCATTTCAAGGCATCTTCATTATCACTATCGGCATCATCATGATGGCTGGCTGCAATAACGTCAGGACCTATGCGGCTGCCCAAGTTTTCTACGGCGTGGGGTATACTGGCATCGACTTTACGACGACCATCTTTATAGCCGATACTTCGTCGCTTAAGAGTCGAGCTTTCATGATCACATCGCAGGTAGAGATGGCTTGCAGGCGTCTTTGGCGGGAGGAAATGTTGTCCTTTTCCAGTTTATATCAACACTCTCTAAAAGCATTGTCATAATGTCACACTTGAGTATAGCTAAATCCAGGCTATTCTTCTCCTATCCTTGGGCAAAGAATCGTATAAGGGCGCCATAACTTCGTGTAGGTAGCTTACCTTGCTCCATGACTGCTGAGGCGACATGGTCCCTGTTGACAAGCAATCAGTAGGCGTGGTGCAGTACGTCCAGGGCTCTCAAGGCTTATGCGACAACCCTTACCCTTGGGAGTTCATCATCCAAGCTCGGGTTAGGTAGTGTCCGGCAGTGGGCATGCTCAGAGGATCACCCTCAGGATTCCTTGTCGTCCACTTCCGCCAGGCTGCAGGAACCAATTCCCAAGGGCTTCGGAATCATCCTCTTCATCCCACTGACGGAATGAGTGGCTTCGGTTTTTTCTTTGGAGTGAATCATAGAGGACGGCTGGTCTAGAGGGTTCCCAAGCATGATACCAGGAGCGTGTGTTTCATCAGGGAGTATATCGTAAAATTATCCCCTTGTCAGTCGCAAGATGTGATCGAGAAGACCATGGTGACTGTGAGATTATTAGAAGAATCAGGCCATCATTCCTCTCTTATTCCATGGTGTACCTATCTAGTGTCTCTCGCCGGTTATATCACTGCCGTAGACATCGCATGTAATTGCGGAATACCGTTTAAGAACACCCCTCTTGTTCACTTCAACGGGCGCTAGAGGGGACAAAGGTGGTGTCCATATCTTCAGAAGGTCGTCTCGGATCCCAGAGACAGCTTCAATCACGCGGACTCCCAGTGGAGAACATCCAACGGCATTGGTGACCATTTTCCAATCCAGAGTGGGTATGTGACGCTGGTGAGTTCCTCGCGTTGTGTCCGGGCTCTGGTCCATTCCAGTGAGGAGGGGAAGCTCCGGTTTCAAGTTATAGAGCTGGTGATTTACAGAGGATGCAGTGGCCAACTTTAATGGAATGCCAAACCGAATTCTTTGAGATTCAGATGGGACTTCTGTCAGAAGAGGGTGTGGTGGGTTTCAAAGGTTGCAAATCGGCTCAGGTACCCGTTGTGAAGCGGCCAGCCCATCAGCTACACCAGGTCGATGGTGGTATGGGATCACATTCTTGAAGCTGTATTCATTGATATTGATTAAGGATCATCCAGGTTGAGTCCGGATTACCTCCTTGCTAGGCTTACTCTCGGGTACTTGTTCGACTGACGATGTTTCACGCCAAGCCCAAAAGGCAGAGCATCAAGCTTGGCCTGGCGAGTGTGAAGGGACCAGAACCAAGGGGGACTGCTAAAGAATACCAATTCAAGAAATTGAATGAAAAATCGCCTGATAGAATGGTAGGCAGACTTTGCTAGCTCGAACAAGCAGCGTATGTAAAAAGGGTGTTGGATAATGCTTGACGTAGTAGAGTGACGTTATGTAGACTTCTTCACCGTCCTCTTTGTTCCTCTTCAAACCTCTCTTTCAGAAACGGAGATAAATCTGCTTATTTGCTCTTGACCCATTCACATCATCTACCTAGGTATACAGCGGTGCCTGGCAACCACCATGTGAAGCCATCCCCACGATGCTCCCCAATCCAGGAACCGCCATCAGCCTTACGACGCTAAACCAAATCCGTCAAAACAGTGGCTTATCGGTTCCCAAGCCCCCGTCTCAGCCACATCATCAGTGGCTCGAGCATGTGGCGTGAGCTCTAATGCTTCATTACACGCCCCCTCCATCATCTGTCCAATTTACCAACACAAAAGAATGCTTCGTTAGCACAAATTTACGCTATGAAAAGACGGTGTGTGTGTGTGTGTGTGAACGCGCTTGTTGTTTGTTGTTTAGACGCGGTTGTTCGTGATTTTTTCGATCTTTAATTTCCGCAAAAAGCCACAGGTGGAATGGCCAGTGACATTTCTCCGTGTGGGACGTAATTTACCCAGCGGTTGGTGATCTCGGCCGAGAGCCGCGGGTGTGCTACCCTATGGTGACAAGTCAACGTCTTGAGATGTTGAAAACTCCAGTTTCTGCCCATATAATCACATATTTTAAGTGTGTATATAAATTTCCTATGTCTGATACAGGTATGGTATTAAAATAGGTAACATCCTGCGCCCGTTGGTGACTTAAACATCCTCATCAGCTGATGATGTGATGACCTCCAAGCTTACTCCTGGACTTACACGGATCACTGCAACGTAGCCACCGCAACTCCAGACATGCTCCATCCAGCAGCATGAGCCGCGCAAGACAACAGCATAACGGGTAGGGGACACCCCTCAGGCATAGCTGACATGATAGAACGGATTTGGATAGTCACGATTCCACACACGCGCAATATCAGGGCGCATCCAAGCGAACTACCGACCAACAACGGTCCGAACAGGTCACTTGCCGACAAGGGGGGTGGACCGGATGATGACTTCCCTTTTCCATCCTTACGTACGAGACATGCATACGACAACTACCGCAGAGAAAGAAAAAGAGATGGCAAAAATCCACCCTCCAGGCCGTTGGATTCAAGGAATGTTCAGGTACCGTGGAATTCGGCCGGTGAGCCACACCTTACCCATAAGCGAGGAATGCACAACCCCCCCCTTAGCCGAACACATTTCTACATATTCCACGCGATGAATTTAATGTATGTCACCAAGGGGGGCGCATATCGGATGCTTAACATAGCTTAGTCTAGCCAACCAAGGGGCGAGCGCATACGAGGGGGGGAGGGGACATGCAACCTCCAGGGGTAAACTGAAAGAAAAACCCACCGGCATGAACCCAGCATCTCTTGTTCAATTAAACCAAACTCTAACAAACCCTATAAGCTTGATTCCCGTAAGACAGCCCTACTATGATTCCCCCTTGGCCCTTGCATGCCCTGCGTGTTCTCCTAGTCAGGGGCACATAGAGAGGTTGGTGACCGTTTTGAAAGGCGGTGGGTGAACCGTCTTTGATTGCGAGACCCGAGATTACACACACTCCCCACAGCGGGAAATTTCCCTGACGTCACCTATTCCCAACCTCCACTCCATTCATCGACGATCTAGATCGTTCTGTTAGAGTGAAGCGAGCTCGGGAGAGCCAGGCACGCGAGCCAGGGACGTTTGAAGATATCCATAGTATCACATACCGTTTATCGGGTTCAATACGAAAAGTCACAGCCAAGGAATGAACAGAGACATAATCTGGGTGAAAAGAATTTTACTTCTTTTTTTTGTGCCTGTTACGTACAACTACCTATACACAGGACGGGGGGTCGGGTCGAAGATATCGGAGAGGTACTAGCCTTTCTCCGGATTGTGTTTCCATAATGAAGGCACATGATAGTACCAAAATATCCTTCCCCCGGGACGACGTTCCAATCGATGCCCTTTCATGGTCATCCCCCGGGTAATGCTCTGCTCTGCTCTGCTTCGCTTCGTCGTCCCTCATCCATCTTTCGAAAGAATTATGCAGATGTTTAACTGCAGTCGTGAAGAGTAGGCCCGCCTCATCGTACCAGACCGAGGTCAGACTCCATCGTCCCTCTTTCAAAGCCATTCCATAAAATAAAAGTAAAAAACCTCTTTCCCTCGTCGTGGGGTATCCTTTTTTTTTTCCATCGCGGAGGGACCTGTACTGATTGCATTCTCTGTCTTCCCTGGTTCCGTTTCGAGGTTTGGGCCAAGCTCCCCTGTAGTAAAAAATCTATTCCGTTGAATCTCCTTTAGGGCGATTCTCCCTTGCGCAGGTCCTTTTTGTCGGTTCGGTATCCCTTCCACGCCGGGGAGGGCGAGTCGCATTGTATTCGGATTCGGGGCCTGAGAAATGCAAAACGAATAAAGTAGAAGAAAAAAAAAAAGGGTATGATCCGCGTGTTCCTTTTTTTTTGGGTGCCGCAAGACTTGATGAGAAATTTTGAATTCGCAAGGAAATAAAAGCAGTCGCTAAATGCCAAAAAAAAAGATGAGAGTGAATGAGAGAGAGATCATTCTGTTGTGCAACCATGCAATGGATTCGAACAAATGCTAGAATGTCGGAAGGATTGTTTGTTTGTGTAAAGGTTGGTTGTGTCGATGCTGCATATTGGCAGCCAGGTCAACAAGACCCAGTCGTCACGAGTTCCATTATTGGTTCATGCCGTGTTGGTTCACGAAGCCGTTGTATTGTTGTTGTTGCCCATACGCCGAGGCGTGGTGGTGAGGGGTTGGTGTTACCGGGCACCGAGGGGGGAGACCGTAGCAATCCTTGGCCATGTTGTGGTTGTTGCCCATTAATGAGTTGCCGTCAGGGGTGATGGGGGGAGTCAGGTATCCGTCAAACCCCATGGTGGCGCTGTGGCCTTTTTGGGGTGTGCTGTAGATGTTGCTGGTGTGCTTGTTGATGGGCTCGGTGTGCGGTGTGGTGGGATTCGCAGTTCGACGCGCGAGCTCGGCCTGCTCAGCCATGAACTCGGCGAGCTTCTGAGACACTCGAGAGTAGTTGGGGGTCGAGTACTTGCGGGCGAGGGTGGCAGAGGGCTGGTGAAGGTGGTGCGACAAGGTCAGCAGCGTCATGTTCTCTGTGTGATCCCACTCTCCGTCGTTGACTTCGGGTCGGGCGAGGATGGCACGCGCGAGCGCAAGAGAAGATCGAGCCATCATCGAAGGCTTGGTGGAGACAAAGTCGCGGTAGTAGAGGGCAATCTCGCAGAGGTAGGCAGCCATGTGCTCCACCTCCTGGTCGTCTCCCTCGTCCGTCACCATGAGCTGAGCAAACAGGTCGACAGTGGGGTGTCCTATAGTCCAGTCGAGAGTGTTCAGAACATGCATCTCCATCTGAGTAAACATTCCAGCATCGTATAGTCCGCAGCACATGTTGTTAAGCTCGTGAATCTGAGGCACTCTATCCTTCTTGTCACCATACTTGGCAGCGATGAGGAGGGCGGCACATCCAACAAGCTGGTAATGTTGCTTGTAAACCACTCGCTTGGAGCAGTACCGATCGAGGAGGTTGACGGTAAGGAACAGGGTCTCGGGGAGGAGGGCGAAGGCGGCGTGGGCCTCGATGAGGAAGTCGATGAGGTAGGGCCTCATGAACCACTGGATCTCGCGCTGCATGTCAATGAGGGAAGCATCGGGGAGAGTCTCTTCCTGTTAAAGGTCAGCAAAGACGCCGAGTAGTGCGCAATGTTCAACATGCCTCCATCCGTCGCAAGTGCCGCATGATATCCTCGAGGTACTCGTCGGCCGCTAACCGGGAGAGCTCGCCGGCAATCATATCTTGGCGCTGGCGGGCGAGCATCTTGATGGTCTCCTGAGTAGAGATTCTAGGGTGATGGTCATCGGACTCGACAAAGAAGGAGCCGTCGTCGTGAGAGTAAGCCATGTTGGGTGGTTGAGTTGAATGGCTAGAGTTTAAGGCTTGGCGGCTTGATGAAATGAGAGACGGGTCGGTTCGCCAGGAATCTCGTTGGTGAAGGAGCGTTTGGTGAAGTGTGCAAAGAGAGTGATGCACACAGAAATTAGGTTATTAAGATATTAAAGAACGTGATGGAAGAAAACGAAAAGAATGACCGTGGCTGGTAACGAGACCAGAAGCATGTAGAGACAAGGAAAGGGATTGGAAAAGGGGTCGTTTAAAGACTAGTCGACTGAAGGGTTCTAGAAACGGGATATGCATTAGTAACGAGGTTCCATGCTAGCGTGCGGCATCTCGATTCTCAAGACAATGCTAAATGGCCCGATGAACAGAATCGTGGGCTGTAGAAAGAGGCATCCCTTGGGCGATGGGGGACGGGCTGGCACGAGGGACTGGGGCGATTGGCACGAGTGCCGTATCGAGGGGAGAGGGAGGCTTACCGCCACAGCTCGGGGAGGTGGACAGCTCAGTCGAGAGATGAGACAGTCCCTGAGATTGTGTGGGAACAACGAGTTAACGTCTCCCACGGGGCAAAGCTCAAGGAAGCTGGTGAAGCGTGGTTGTGGAGAGGACGACGGTATGCGGAAGGATCCTCGGCATGCAGCTGGAAGGGGAGATTAGAATTACCATCTAACCCTGGGGTCTTTGACAAAAGACATACCTTCCTGACTCTAAACGCTTCCAAGGTTACCGGGTCAGGGTTGACAGGGTAGCCGAGTAGTTCAGGTGGTGGGATAGTGAGTATGAACCTCGAAGGCTATCGAGATTCAAGAATTCAACAATCCACAGTCGTCACTCGTCGTGAATTCTTCTGCCCTAGTGCTCGAAGAGGTATTCGACAAGGTTGAGCAGGCTAGTCCGGCCGGAGGGTCGATGAACCAGTCTCGGGAAGGGCAGCAAAAGAGATCGTCTCGTGTGAAGGGAGCGGGTGCGTCGATAGGCGGCGTCGGCGGCTGGTCGACAGGGAGTGGAAGAGACTGGAATTCCTGGTCGACGGACCTTGGAATTTGGCAAGAGTCGAAAGGAGAAGGTCGAGTTTAAAGGGCTAACTTGGGGGGTACCAGAAGGAAGAAGTGAAATACCAGCAAAGGTGTTTTTTGATTCACTTTTTCCAGTCCGGCCTTTTTTTTTTATTCTTTGGTTCCGTCTCACAACCTATTTTTCGAGGTTCGCCCTGACCTTTAATAGGACAGGAGATGGGGCTCTTTGAGGGAGGAGGTGTCGAGTTGAATTGCCCTGGTGTGTGGTGAGAATTCTCCTCGTCCCAAGCGCGTTTCTTCAGGCCTGCTGTGGTCGAGTCAGGAGGGAAGACGTAACGAGAGATGAGGGAATGTGATGGATGAGGGAGAGGGAGAGAGAGAGAGAGGAAGGGGGAGGATGCGGATGAAGAGGTAGGAGGAGGATGGAGAAGAGGGAAAAGGACTGGACGAGAGGTACACGAGTAGTTTTAACGGAACCAGCCCAGCCCAGCCAGCCTGCAGCAGTAGACGGGAGGGGGGGAGTACGCAGAGACGCAGCTAAACGCAGCGCAGCACTTGTCCTCAGGCTGGCTGCTGGCTCCATCCATCCCTCCATCCAAGGATGGCTTGACCTTGGTTTTTCTGGGACGGGTACCGGTTGCGGGTACCGTACGGGGTCGCTGACCAGGTACCTGCGCGCCGGGCAACAGCGGGTGGAGGTACCTAGACGCGGCCCCTGCTAGGAGGCCACCAGGAGTCACACACCCACGGCCACGGTCGCGCGCCCACCACGAGGAGGAGCCACAGGATCCTGGCACTCCTTGGAGTGAGTTGAGTTTCTGAGAGCAGCTCAACTCTTTCCCTGTTCTTGTCCTTTTTGGCGGAGAAATCGCCTGTGGGATTTGATCTCCAGAGCAACTCTGGGTCGAGGGGGTGCATGATGCCTCCAAGACCGTTATGCTGTGCTCTGTTTCTGCCATGCACTGCGAATCACCAAAACGCCTCTACCTCATCACCTCTAAACATCACGCACCTCATTCAAGGAACGCTGTTCGGGGGCTGGACTAGAGGAAGAGTAGCTTGGGCTCATCGCGAGCTTGACTTTTTTGCTTGCTGGTGCTGAGCGGGAGGGGGTGAGGCCAAAGGGCATGGGGCATGGGGCATGGGGGCGTGCAAGGTACGGCACTGTACTTTTTGGAGTGGACGCCAAATACGTACCTGGCTTGGGCTTGGCTGCCCGCTTGAGCGTGTGCGGTGCGTGTATGAAGCGTGTGAAGCCTGTGCTGGCCCGGGCGAGTTGTGCCAATTGTGTCGTGTCGTAGCGTGTTCTTGTCTCTCGGCTGGGGAAATTCGGCGCACGCTGGGGCAGGGATCCGCGCGCGGATGTAATGGAGACTGGGCGTGTGAGACGGGCTGTTTGGATGTAAAAGATGACCGCGTCAACAGTCAAAGTGATGGTCAAGATGCGATCTGTTGGTGTTGATGATCGGATGGTGATGGATCAGGATGAGCATCTCTGGGGAGTGACTGATAAAATAGCGAGAGGCCAGAGAAAGAAGAATTATACTGAATTGAGATGTTTTGAGATCATTGGCCTCGCAGTCGCCCAAAGGGTATAATTCCATTGAAGCTAAAAGCGGAATCGGTGGCACATCCGTGGTGAGATATAACCTCAGATTTTCCACCTCGGATTCAGCGCCGCAGTATGCCCGTACCAAGCCGAATTGTTCCATTTTGTTGTCAACCATTAATTCGCCCTCATATGACATCAAGATGCAAATGAATCAAGAACACGACATATTTGTTTGTTTGGAAATATGCATCTCGCGGGCCTGGTTGACCTAGGCCACAGGCGGCCTTGTGCCCGTCCATGTCTGATATTGTGCTCATGTGAGGTGCACTGCGCAGGCTCACCACAGATGGCGAGCCGAACTGTAGTGACATTTGCAGGTCGCCTGTTTTTCTGTAGAGCCATCATCATCAGAGTCAACACCGCCACGACCGCGACCTCGTTCCCGACCTGCCTTAGCACACCGAAGCTATCGCCGTGATGTCGAGCCAGCAAAGCAAGGCAGTGTCTGTGGTAGCATTTGTCAGGCTGTGCGTTGCGGTGCATGATTACAAGGCAGAAATCATGACACTATTATCAACACCGCTGCTGCATCGATCTTGGGCCATGTAAAAAGTAACCAGGGGTTTTTTAGATGCCCCTCTGACCTCACCGATGAAGCGAGATCTCTTCCATGTACAAGCCTCTACATCCCCTCGGATACAAACAACCTCGTCGCCCCGATGCTGGTCCCATCTCAAACTCGTGGCATGGATTCCCCTTACGGACGGACCACGCTTCTGCACTCTAACGGAGCTCCGGGCTGTCCGCGACGTCGACAACATCCCATCAACCTAGGATGAGTGTCGTTGCAGGCAGTGCTGTACTGTTAGTGCGCCGCCCTAAAACATCCATATGTCAGCATCGTTGATGAACTGCGAGGCTTGCTTCTGCCAGGTTCCAGTGTCAAACACTAACACCAACAAGACGCGAGCGCATTCATCTCGCGCGCTGCATCCTCATTTCTCGTTCCCGTGTCGTCGCCAATCCATACCGACACCAACGCGCGCCAGACTAGATCTCCCGTCATGGACATCTCCGACGGAAGGGGGTGTTGTAGTGGATTTTCAGGGCGTCATCTCTTAGCCTATGGCACGTCGCCCAGAGACCTGTCTATCGAAGCTCGAAAACGGCCCTCAAAAGGAGCCACAAAAATCTTGGGTTCCAAAAGCGATGTCAGCGACTGGACTGGTCGGTCGCGTTGCCCTCACTTCAAATCTGAGGATGCCACATCCCCAGCCTAGACCAATCATGTTCTGCCATTCACGACTTCTCGCATCGTCCTGGAGCCCAAAGGCCAATTAATCATGCATGTCATCCATGATGAGCACCTCGCTTCTTGTGCCTTGCCTAGGATTTTGTTTCTCCCTCACGTCCAGTCTGCTCATTAACATTAGCAGTTGGGTCATTCACCCCCACCGCGGGCTTGGTGACTTGCACTTCAATATATCCACTGAACTACAGGCCACTAAGCAAGCCCTGGTGAGGTTCCCTTGGCTTTCATTGTGCAGCGGTCGCGCAGCGTCATGGACCAACTGTCATTTACACTTGCATCTACATGACGATTTGTCTGTCGCGACCGCGTCTTTCTGTAGCGCAGCCCTACATAAAACCCTTTCAAACTCCCTTTCGCGATGATGCGCGCCGTGCTCGCGCGTTGCCTGACTGTTGGTGGCTCAGGGGGCGGAAAGGCCGTGCTACACGCTTCCATCAGTCGTGAGACGTTGTCAGCTCTTTTTCTTGCCCTGCTTGCATCCTGGGCAATTTTGTGACTTTTTCGGAGCGTCTCTTACAGAAGCCTCCTCCGTTGCCAATACCCTTCGGTCATGGAGATGTCATCATTCATTCGCTGGGTCTGCTCCCTGCCATCAACACATGTTCACAAAAGTGACACTATTCGCATAACCTCTCAAGTCAATTTATTAAAACGGGCTCCTCCCGATGCAAAGCAAAGATTTTTTCTTGATGAGTTGTCAGCTTTCTCAGGTCAAGCCTCATCTGCCGCTTGGGGCAATCTGCCCCTATTAAGATGCTGAATATAGCTGAAATAGCTCCTGTCGCAGACGAGTTATTTGCTCTTCTGTTGGAGACCCATCTCGGGACGATCTTTGTTTCCTTCATGTCCCCTCATCCATGTATCGCGGGTATAATCCGCTGCTAGTAAAAGGAGGTTGCTTGCTTGGCGAGACGATCAACCTCGAGAATACCGTGGCTGCGTGTTTCCACCGGACAATGGACGCCATCAGCTTAGCCCGTCAACTCAAAGACACGTCCATAGCGGCAGAGGTTATAGCGTCGCACTCCATACACGGGTTAATTACGGAGGAGAACTCATCACGTCTCATGTAATCACCAACAGAGACTCTGACCGTCTCGTCTCATGGATCCAGCTCCTTGAG